CTCCCGCACCTCATCCCCGCACCGTCCGGCGGCAGCAAGGCCTTACGAAGGGAATAAACCAGCCCCCGAGTGACGTGAACGGTGCAACGCGGTGCCCTCTCTCCGGCGGGTCCGGGCGCGGGGTTGGCTGCTCCCTGCTAATCGCCGCCCGGGCAGGAGAGTTCTGCTCCGAGGTTGCTCAGGGAGCCGTGGAGCTCCCCAAAGAGGTGGAAAACTACTCTGGAAAAGCGGCCTCAGCCCCAACCCCATCATCTCTACAGAATTCTGGTTTTTCCAGTAATGTAGTGAGTACTACCAAGTGAGCCCAGTCACCCCTCTTCATCTAAGAGAGACAACTCCCCCTTCATACATGGAATTTATGCCTATAATGTTACACCTATAATTTATGACTGCAATTTTAGGATCAATTCTAATTGTTACGTAGTTTTTGTTCTCGATATGGCTATGCCTATGTCACAGCCTGAAACACTGTGTTATGTCGCTGTTTTAGGGGGAAAAATAAATATCCGCCTTGCAGAAATGTCCTCTTCACCGAATTTGAAATCTTTGTCCTCCGAGCAGAGCTTTAGGAGCTGTGTGCTGAGCAGACAAGCTAGCAGGCACAGCGCTGCGCTGGAGAACTCATTTATCTCGCTTTAGAAAGGACACGGGGACTAAATCTGCCCCCACTCCGCATCGCTGGCTTTTATGGGACTACCCGAGCGTAACGCCAGGGCAGACGCAGCCTAAAAAACGTAGATATCTGAAGCCACAACTAATCAAAAGCACTTACACACACGTTAAATAAGCTGCTACAGAAAGCTACGGATTCTGAGACACGTTCGGTCCAGGCTGGCAGCTCGGTGCTCACTAAGGCTTAAATTTCCAGCAGATGTGAAAGAAGTGGAAACAAAACCACCGAAACACAGGGGGGAAAAAAATCCACTGATAACAAACTGCCGAGAAACAGGATAGCATCTCCCAAATACAGAGCGTTTAAGCATCTAAACAGGAAAGTTGAGTCATGTAACGTCGGAAAAAATTCCTTCTCTACACAGCTGACGGTGCCAGCAGCTTGAAGCACGCAGGAAGCCCTGGCAAAGCCGCCGGCGCTGGCCGAAGGGGCTGGGCGAGCCGACCCCGGGTGGAAACGCAGCAGCACGCCCGGGCTTCCAACTAGGGCACCCCGGAGCTGCCGGGAACCGGGGGCACACGGGTCCCTTCGGGGCGGGCCGAGCACCAGAAATACTTCAAGGACACTCTGGGGCCCCACGGGTGTTCGTAGGGTTTGTGTAAGGTATCTTTAAGCAAGGAGCTTAAGGAAATAAATGGGTCAACACCCTCCGAGGTTGAACAGTGATAAGAAAACAAAAAAAAGTTCCTAACTGACCGGAGCGATGCTGGCACAGCCTGGGAGAGGCTCTGTCCCAGGTCAGAAGTTCAGCGTAATCCTCACAGCGCGTTGTGCTCCGCAGGCTGCCCCGTCCAGCCTTCCGATCGGCCCGCAGAGCCACCTGCTTCGCTGTCCCCATCCAGGTCGAAAGGGAAGCCTCAGAAAAAGTGCAAAAACGTATTTCCAAAATGATGCTGCCTTGTAAAGCAGAGAAATATTACAACTCTAGCTCATGGTTCTGCTTGACTCAGAACAAGCTAAGAAAAAATGTAAAACCCCATCTCAGGTTAAAAGAGAACAAAATTACCCAGAACTTGGGCAACAGAACTAAGATAATTTTATAATTCTTGGTCTGAACAAGAACTGCCTGGCATCGTGCTGTCTCTTTAAGGAGCACACAGCTGCTTAGTACACAAAATACAGAAAAAAAAATTGCTTGGTAAGAATACTGCCTTTTCCTGATTCCATCACCGCCCTCACTGCTCCCTTCACCCTCGGCGGGGTGACCTCTGAATTGCCTCCTCCTGTCCCAGGCTTGGTGGACAGGGATATCTCGGATACACGCCTCTGCGAAGCGTACAGGGCGCCTGTGCTTCCAAACACCGAGCAGGGGACCGGGCACCTTCGCTATAGCAGCCACCGTGCAAGGCAGCGGAAGCTGAACAAAGTTGAGCAGCTGGAATGAGCGTGGAATTTAAACAGCTTGTTACATGGGGATAGCCAGAGAGGTTGCTGTATGGTCTAAAAGATTTCTCCTGTATCGCAGGTGCAGTTCTCTCATTACCCAAGCGTACGGTGTTCTTCAGCAAGCTCTGTATCGCCTGTAAGATGAGCCAGTAGCTGAAACCTGCAGGCTGCTGGGGGAGGCGGGAGGCATGGTGAGCTGCACCGCACACCGTGTCCCAGCCACTCCGAGGTGTGATGACACAGCAGCCACAAAACCGACAAGCAAAACACTGGTGGGGTGTGGAACAGTGGTTTCTCCCAGATAACAGGCTCAAAGCAGGCAGGATCTGAGCTTTCGGATTCAATCCAGTTAAACCTTTGCCTGCAGGCGATAAATTCCATACAACTTCCACGCCCACAAGCAAGCAAGCAGGCAGGATCTGAGCTTTCGGATTCAATCCAGTTAAACCTTTACCTGCAGGCGATAAATTCCGTACAACTTCCACGCCCACAAGCAAGCACAGCCTTGTGCGCTCGCTGTGTGGGGCCAGGCTGCTCGGCACGGCTTGCTCCTGCTCTCCTTCCCTGGTCAGATGTTCCCAGCAGATCTGCACTGCTGCTTTATGAGGGCGCTCGGCGAGACAGATGGGACAGACGGACGGACAGACAGACGCATCCGATTCAGAGAGAGCCCTGGCAGCAGCAGCGGACGGGGCAGGGGATGGTGCTCGTCTCCTTCCTCCAGCCATGCACTCAGCTCCTCCTTTTGCCCATCCAGGTACTTGCCTGCCTGGGCTTATGGGACTCCTGTAAGAAAATCTTTCCGTATATCACGGCCAAGGCATCACCCATCTACAACCCTAAGGTCTACAAGCAGAAAAAAGAGCTGCTCAGTGACTTTAGGGAATCTGCAGGCCCTTCAGGCCAGCTCACGCTGCTGGAAATCGGCACAGGCACAGGCATCAATTTCCAGGTAGAATCATAGAATCACTAAGGTTGGAAAAGCCCTCTAAGATCACCCAGTCCAACCGTCACCCCAGCCCCACTGTGCCTGCTAAACCATGTCCCCAGGTGCCACATCCACACGGTTTTTGAACCTCTCCAGGGATGGGGACTCCACCACTGTCCTGGGCAGCCTGGTCCAAGGCTTCACAACTCTTTCAGTAAAGAGTTTTTTCTTAATATCCAATCTAAACCAGTTCTATCCACCCAGCTGCCGGGTGATGTGCACTGACCCTAATCCCAATTTCAGAAAGTTCCTCCTCAAGAGCCTCTCGGAGAACCGGCACCTTAAGCTTCAACATTCAGTGGTTGCTTCTGGCGAGGATCTATCTGCGTCCCATACTGGAGGGCAGCACGGACGCGGTGCGGTGCGCCTTGGTGCTGTGCTCCGTGACCAGCACCAAGAACATCCCGACGGAAGCTTTGCGAGTGCTCAGACTGGTAAACTGGGGCAGCGCGAGGGAGACAGGGACGCCAATTTGTGTCTTGATAAGCCAAGTTGTGTGTACTGACCCACACTTAGGATAACTCAAATCACCTGCCAAGAAAGAGTTTAAAATCAACCATCGTACCCACTTAACCACTCACAGGTAGTTTTCTTTTGCGCTGCTTCACCTGCAGAGGAAAGAACCAGCTCAACCTGCTTCCCCTCTCCCTCCTCAGCACGACCGGTGTGCTGCCGCGCACGCAGAAGCTCTGCAGGACCTGCAAGGTGGTGCCCATTGCCCGGGCAAGCAGGAGACAGCTACTCACTCCGGGCAGCCTGGCTCCTGCACTTGCAGCTGGGCAACCTGCAAAAATACCAAGGCCAAAGCTGCTGCAGAAAGAAAAAGCAGGAAAAAACCAAAACTCCCCACAAAAACCAAGTCAGGAGGTCCTGGGAGCTAGGAGGAGCAGAAGCAGAGCAGTGTTGGATAAGCAGAATTCCCGCAGTACGATGGTGCAACATGGGGAGGGAAGCACGCAGCGACATGCGTTGTAACACGGGTAAATTATTAACAATTTCAGTTCAGGGTTGCTGTGTATACACTCTAGCGATTCTCTCTCTTCCCTTTAAAACTTGTGTACCTAAAGCAGGTATTTTCGTTATAATCTGACCCTGTAAAACACCACATTCACATTCCACTCCTCCAATGCTTTTTTCTCCAGTTGGAATACCTGGGGAAAGGTGTAAATTAAACTTGCCGCAGATCCTAGCCAGAAGGTGAGCTGAATCTGCGTGACTGGCCAGAGCCCCTGCGTGTAAATGAGAGTTCAGCCCGGCACGTGGCTGAAAACCTCACGAATTCCTCCAGGCAATCCTGTACGCTCTTCTGACACCGAACTAGGGAAGAGGGAATAAGCTCTTACCCAACGCGCTCCACCGAGAAGAGGAAGGAAACTTCAGCTCTGAGCCCTCGGCTCCTCTGTCTGGCCCCACTGAACAGGTTTTACAGGAAAGCTTTCCTTCCAATATTAGATTTGCTTTTTATCTGTTATTTATAAATGCAGAAAGGCATTGAACAGATGTGGTCAAAGATACAATTAAACATTGATAGGGTGCACAAGACTGAGAATGATGGAACTATTATGCTCTACTTACACCGGCTGTAGCATCGCGCCCTGGGACACGAGATTTCTGCTTGCAAAAGCTGTCTCACATTTTATAAACACTAAGAAATAAACTCTTTTCCTTGCAGGTCAGCAAACTCTTTATTCACATTTCTCAGATGAGAAAAACTGAAGCACAAGGAAGTGCAAGCAGCTTGTCCAAGATCATCCAAGCAGAGAGAAAAACCCGGCGGCGGCAGTCCCTGCCGTCAGACCTCTTGTGCCGTCCTAAACTGCGCCTGTCGGTAAGCGCGGAGTCGTCCAGCCATAACCACCATCTTCCTCGAAAACTGGGCGGGAGGCGCTTTTAGAGACTGCGCCGTTCAAACCAACCATGGATCTGGCACTCCTAATATCTAGGGAAGGAGGCTGGTCTTCAGAGAGGTGATAGAAGGCAGCATGTTTACCAATATGTAAAAGCTAAAATTCTACATACAGAGGTAAACAGCCCTAAATCCTTTTAATTTTTTTTTTTTTAATGGCACTTTTCCAGGGTGGAGCTTTCTATTTCTTGGAGCACGTGGCTGCAGATCGTTCCAGTTGGAACCACTTTTGGCAAAAGGTCTGTGACCCAGGCTGGAGGTATTTTGGAGACGAGTGCTCCTTGAGCAGAGAGACACAGAAGGAGCCGGAGAAAACTGATTTCTCAGAACTGAATTTGTGGAGCATTCGTGTCACACCTTACCAACTCCTACTAGTCCTCATCTCATTAGGTATGTGGTAAAGAGTGCTGAAGAGTTGGGAGCAGAGCAACCTGTTGAGGTTCAACAAGGGCAAGGGCAGGGTCCTGCACCTGGGGAGGAACAACCCCAGGCACCAGCACAGGCTGGGGCGGCCCTGCTGGAGAGCAGCTCTGTGGAGAGGGACTGGGAGTGCT